GCTTTAGTTCTTCAAAATACGGAGAAAAACATTTCCTACCTGGTTAAAGACCCACCCTTACACTGAGTGTGTGTGGGCTGTGTGCATGGTTTTTTAAGACCAACAGGGAGTGAGAAAATGGTCTGCTGATACGGTATCCATGGCAACCCAGACATCGTTTTCCCTCAGGGCTCACTGATTTCCGAGTCTCTGTAATTTCTCTATTTTGTAAACCTCTTATTCATTTCCCCTGCTAGTTCTTCCTTTTACTTTTCACATAAATCAGAGTACAGATTCATGTTGCAACGTTAAACCCCTGTGTGTGGTACACAGTAAAAATAAATATATGACTGTGTAAAAAGATATTGAGACTATCACTGCTTAATAATACTGTACTTTCCTCAGTTATAATATTCAACTTTCTTCAAAATAAATATTTATTTTTGAAGAGAGTACAATCCTGGCAATTTATAAATGATATCTGGTGTTATTTACATTAAAGCACTTGAGAGCATTCATAGAGAACCCAATTCAGAGGTATTAAGATGCCAGCAGGTGCAGCTTATACACAGTGTTCTATAAAATACTGTAACACAAAATAATATTTTAATTATTAGTCCAGAATGTGCAAGCACATTAAAGATCTCAGGATCAAGCACAAACTGTGGTCATTGATTTAAAAACAGGCAGAAATGAACAGCTAGGCCTTTCCAATACCGAAGATAAAAAAAATGACTGTATGACCCAATGTTTACAGAAAAAAAAACACACAAAAAAGTCAATGACAAAAATGAAACTGTAAATCTTAGAGCATGTATATTTAAATAAAAAAAGCTTTTTTTGCAATAAAAGCTGGAGAGCAGCCTGCAGCAGCTGCACGACGTGGGTGTGTGGGAGCACCATTAAATGAAACAGAAAAACGCCTCAAGGAGCATCAACAGACCGGGGTCAGAGTGCTCCGAAAAAACTTGTCAATACGGCTACATTAAAACACACACACACAAATGTGTGACTAAACTGCGTGTGTGTATTTGTGTAGGTGTGTGCAGAAAATATGGAGGAAAAGCAGAAGAACAGAAAAAAAAAAAAAAACAATTCACCTGTTTTTTTTAATCTCCTCAGCAAATGTGTTGCTCAATCTACTCATAAAATTATTTATGTCCTTTTCAAAAGGTGCAGAAATCTGGCAGCAAGCTGTCGGGCTTTTATGGCCTGTCAGGTCACTGAGGTCATTCACCTTCCGTTAACTGTATAGAAGATGTACAACAGTTTTGACATGATGGAAAGTAAGAGACCAACCTGAGATAACCACTGGTGCCAGAGTTCCTGGTAAACCTACACTAACCCAACCATGCCCTCCTGACATCATTAACCAGACACTTCTGATATTCACAGACCTTGACCGGAGCTGAGCAGAAGCTGTGGTCAGCACTGAGAAGTTAAGGTCGTCTCCAAGCAGGACAGGGGGTCGGGGAGGGGGGGGGGGGGACCCCAGACCCTTGCAAGTAGTTTAATAGCTGAATTAACATTTAGTTGTTGCTATGCTAACATTAGTTTTCCAACTGAAAATGACTAGGCCTTGATGTGAATACTGAAGTACTGAGTTAACCTTGTTCCACACCTAATATTCATGGCTTTAATGGATATTAACATTCAAGGCTAACAGAAGGTAGAGACACACTGAGGAACTGAGGAACACTGCACTGACGGTGCTAATGCAGGGGAGCAGGTTGAGGCGAGATTGGACAGATGGGTGGAGGGCGAGACAGTGAGACAGGTGGAGTGCCAGGTGTTGTTGGTAGCTGAGTCCTGTTGATGAAGGAGGGAGTATTTCTCTTACTTCCCCGGGGCAAACAAAGATCCTGCCCAAGTGCAAGAAATACGTAGCAGAAAGATGCTTCGGGCATTATATTATGGTGTGTGTGAAAGAGAGAGAGAGAGAGAGAGAGAGAGAGAGAGAGAGAGAGAGACATCGTTCAGTGATTCCCACACGTGTTGTCATCGCAAAGCTGTTTAAGAAGATTATCTTGTGTGTCTCTCTTTAATTCCTGCAAATATATCACTATTGTTTTCAAGTAAACAGGTCAGCGTTTCAGAGTTATTAAATTTAAAATAAAACGAACTAAGGTTTTTGTTTGGTGGTGTGCCATGAGATTTATTCTAATGTACAAAAACATGTGCTTTAGCCTATAAAAGGGTCAGGAAACACTGACCTCACCGCGACCTCTTTAAATCCATTTACATTCATTTTAATGCCATGTACGGGCATCACTGCTCATCACTGAAACCTTGACTGATTTGTGTGCTGATCTCCTCTCTTCTCCTCTCCAGGGTCAACTTCTCATTTAGGAAAAGAAAAACGATATCTCCGACGCCTTGGCAGGATTAGGGAGGGGCTGGGGTTTCTCTGACACCCACAGCTACAGCGGCTCGTACCACAAAGACCTTCTCTTTGTGCGCCGTAACAAAGGGAATTCAAATCACAGGTCGTACCATTATAGATTGCTTCCTCTCGCTGCTGCCGCAGAGATAAATGATAGGGGAGAGCGTGTTGCTGGTGCTAACATTCACACACTCTCTCAGTGAGAAAGAGGGAGAGTGGGGGAGTGAGAGAGGAAGAGAGTGATGAGGTTTTTCTCACTTTTTCTGGCTCTCTCATTTGACTCAGCCCACACTTGTGATTATTTTACATAAATGCACTGACTTGCTTGTACAAAACATGGCAGTTGGATTTTTTTAAACGTCTTTCATCAAATCTTGTTCTTCTAACTAAAATAAGTTTCTCTTCCTTATGTGGATTAACTGCTCCACTTTTTTTTTCTTTCTCTTTTCCACCTCTGATTGGTCCAGTGTTGACCTGATCAGAAAGGTTTAAGCTGGAAAACTAAAAGGCTGTTGGACAGAGACCAACTTTTTGAAACCGTGACCTCTTCTGTCAGGGGTCACGGTGAGTTTTGCCCCATTGCAACAGTGACATCCAACACTTTTCCCTCCTCCACCCACTTCTTTACAGGCTGCGTCTCAAACAAGAGCACATAAAAAAGCATTTAAACTCCAGCAGGTTTATATATGAGATGCACACCCAGTGGACAAATACACACAGCCTTGAAACTGCACTGACATTAGTGAAGCCAAAGACGTACAAGGCTGAAGTAGAGGTGTTTAACCTCCTCTACTCCATCTGTGGGAGCTACTAAAATACTTCCCAGCTTTAAGGCAGTATCAGCACCACCGTTTACCAGATATTCTCAGGTTAGCTGCAGTTCAGAGGAAAGAGGTCGACTCTTCTCTCCTTCCTTTTAAAAAACCCTCATCCTTGGCCTTTCCTCTTATCTCACTAAAGCGATAACAGAGCTGAGTGAGGATCATTAAAGATGAAATGGAACCTTCCTGTTGAATTATGCCCTGTCTGGTGCTGCCATGAGACCCGAGAGAGGAACAAAGTCAAAAACAAAAGGAGAAATCCCCCAAGTTTTATCATTTGATTTACTTCAAGTTAACTCTCAGTTTCTGCTCTCTGTAATTAAAACAAGATCGAGGTGAAAAATAAAAGAGCAGGAGGGTAAAAAGATGAAAGCAGAGGAGAAAGACAGTTTGGGTTAAGACCCATCGGAGGATCAGAGAGGTTTTTTTGATTGGTGCATGTGTGATAGTGTGTGTGTGCAGTGTCAAAGCCAGCTTGAGGGCGAAGGTCAAAAGTCTGAAAGGCAGGAAATTAGCTACACCTGGGGATTTAGGAGAAAAAAAGCTGCTCGAGGCACTTCAAACTCCTCCAGCATGTCTGTCCACAGAGGACGTGAGTTAAAAAACTTTGGTCAAATGTCAGTGTTTAACAAATCTTTACCAGTTTATCACCAACAGGTAAATGTAAATATATTTTAATCTCTCTCTAAACAAAGTCTGCAGCCTCCCATCAAAGTCTCACTGATGCCTTTGAAAAATGTCACGCACATTTAATCACCAATGTTTTGGCCAAAATATCACCACCAATGACTACGCCCCATTTTTAAATGTTTATTTCCACAGGTGCAGTGTGACTACCTGAGACTGCGATCACTGACTGAATAGTGAATGTTTGGTTTGTTCACTCCAAGTTACAATTCACCACTTCTCATTATTTTACAGCCACATCCAAGGAATCCTGAAGAATAATCACTGTTTCAACACCAGCCGGTCATGTGACATACCTTCACTTCTCACTGGAGTAAACCAAGGACAAGTCATTCTCTCACTGTATGTGCAACCAGCCGTGCCACAAACGAACAAACACAGTGAGTCAACAGTGCAGAAAAGACACGAGTACAGTTCTGTCTCCAAGTTGTGTGTTTAAACTTGTGTTGGAAAAAAAGCAGTTGATAGTTAAAGGCATAGTACAGAATATCTAAAAGGTGGGTCGTGACCCAGAAGTGGTCCAGGTTGATAAATAATGCAGCACACTTTCTGGTAAGGCAGCTTTTGGGCTGCACCTTGAAAAGTATTTATATTATTTACAAAGCTAAGTGTAGAAGTTTTAAGACAAACTGAACTTTTTTTGTATATTAGATTATTTTTATTAGATTTAAGTGTTTTTTTTTTCAATTTATCCTCAGTTCAACTCTTCTATCAGATTATTTCTGGAGGGTGTCTTTCACAACAGGTCAAAACCTGCTTCTCTCCATCGTCAGTGAACTGAACTTGGGTTCATTTAAAAGAAACATATAGAGTGAGATAATAAGCTGTTGCCAAACTGTAGAAATATTTGGAACTGTATTTGCAGCATAAGCATGTTATCATGGTGTATTCTTGAAATCATTTATTCCTACATTAGAAACTGGGCCACAACCCAAAGACAATCAGTCCTAACCCTTCAGACAGCCTTTAAAGTCCTCATTCTTTACATATTTACTTCATTATCATCAGAGTAACAAATGTGAACTTGATAAAACATATTTCAGAATGATAAGATTGAATCATTTTTTTATACATGGTCAACCATAGTAGACAGAGGAGAGGTCATAGGTGACCAGAGTTTAAAGACTCACCTGTCAGCGTCACCCTGAACAGCTGATGCGTTTCGATGAAGTGTCTCTTTCACAGCAGTCATGCCGTCAGGGAGGCGATTCAGACGCCGGGTGTACAGACCCAGACTGCCATCCGTCATGTATCTGCAAACAAAAAAACATAAGTATAAAATAAATGGATGATGAAATGTAAGTAAAGTTAGGCAAGGATGATTTTAAGTTGGTCCAGTTTGGATCAGACTAAAGTCTCTGTTCTCTTTTTAAAAGCTGCTTTTGTTTCACAGAGCAGAGGAAAAAACCCACATCCATCTAGTCTTCCGGCCGGGGCAAAAAAATTATCATCAATCACGCCAAAAAGTCTGGCGAAAAGCAGCCACACAAACAGTGAAGACAGCAAAATACCTAACTGAAGACACATTTCTCTCATGTGGCCACTGGTAAACAACAGCAGTCTTTGAGAAGGGTGGCAGCCCAGCAGACAAACCATGAGTCTATTCTTCCTCTGACAGGGGCCGATACTGTCATTCATCACCAACTATAGTCCAGTCTGGGACAGGGTCCTCCAGAGAAGCTTTAAAATCAGATTCAAAATCTATGTTTATTCTACATGGGTCCCTCAGTCTGTATCCGCTGAAGTAAAAAGATGGAATGAACATGATTTATTGGATGTCTGGGTCGGAGAAAAAAACCTTACTGTTTGCAAGTGATGCTGAGGCCCTCTGCACTAGAACAAACATTTTCCACTCAAACTAAAACAACCCAAACTAATTCCTCAAATATTTACGCAGGAGGAAATTCCTTGATGGAACTAAATATTGACTTTTTTAGCTCGGGCGTAATTTGAAATTAAATGCTAATTTGATTTTTTTTTTTACCCATTCATTCAAGATGAATGACTGCACTGTTGATTTAACTCTGACCCTGAAACGTGTTTTTTTCTCTTTGCAGATACAGTAACAGTACAGAGTCGGTACATGAGCACAGCCTGCGTCTCAACCGTCAAACACGTTCTGCCTGTGTTGATCTCAGAAAATCAGTTTCCTGTCCACGAGGACCTTCACAGTCACACCGCCATGACAGAGCCATACAGTAAATAAACAGTGTTTTCTGTAGACAGAGCTGTGTTATGTTTCAGTCAGTCAAACTTCATTAACAGTCAGACACACCGGCAGTTTTGGAGTTAAATCACTGATCTTTCAGTTTGCACTATGATTTGATTTTTATTCCTTGCCAATGGCAAAAAAAAAAAAAACAATTTCAGATCTGTGTTATGAATTATATTTACTGCAGAATTAATTCTCACAGAGTTCAGTAAAAAAAGAAAAGAAACAAAAGCAATAACTTTTCACACTATAAATACTGTTTTTTTGTTTTTCACCCTCAGCTGAATGAGGTGATTACTGACTCAGATCATCTGGTAGCCGTTCTGGTAGCAGCATCTTTCCCAACAGTCCAATCTAAACATGGAAATGTTGCATGTTTTCTTTACACCCAGTGAGGAGCACAAAACCAGATGCAGCACGGTTACATTTAGACCTACTTTAACTTCATGCTATTCTTAGCAAACATTCCAGACTTGTTGTGTAGCATATTTTCCAGACAACAAAACACACAAAGAACATGAAGGGAATCTGTGACACACTGACTCTGAGGAGGAGGTGGATATCACTAATGATGAAGCATCCATCTTCACTGAGAAGTCAGTGTAGAGATGGTCAGGACACACATCACACAAATCAGTAACTGAGCCTCTGTTTCCCCTCCACATCTGTTAACCTGTTACCTGTCACAGCAGTGGAAACGTGTCTAAACAAGACAAGTTTATGAGCGTAAACTGAACAGCTCTTCAGATTTCTGTTTAATGCAAAAGAAGAAGAAAGCTGAAAGTCAAATATGTGCAATCAGAACACGGAACCGAAGAAGTGGAAAAGAAATGCTCCAGGAAACATACCTCTCTGCCTGAAACATTGACACAGAAAGTCCAAAGGCAAAAATAAATGAGTCTGCAGCAGGTTGATCCTTGAATCCCCAACACTGGTTTTCAGTTTCCACTCAAGTGCCTGTTTTCACACCTGGACCTGTGAGCGACGTCCGCAGCGATGTGGATAATTTCACCAGGCGTGAGCTTATTGGACCATGGTGATGTCAGAATTTATAATATCAGTAAACTTGACCTGCGTCCATAAGGCATTTAAATTTGAGTGTGTGTGTGTTGCTGTGACGGAGCTCAGTGTTGGTGTAGTGTCTCTCTGTCAGTTCCACATGCTTATACCTCCTCGCTGGAGGTTGGGTCTGTCAGTGAAAGGTGGAGGTGGGGGAGGAAGAGGAGGAGGAGGAATGTTAGGAAAGAGAGCGGGGGTAGAAAGGAAGGGAATGAGGCGGGGAAGGGGGAGGAAAGGGGGAAATGTACCCTAAAGCTATGGAGGTGGGGGAGAATGAGGACTTTTCTCTCACTGGGTGAAAGAATCCAAAAGGCAAACAGAGGAGATTCAACTGCATTTAAACCTTAAACCTTAAACCACAAACAAGCTACAGTAACAAGCTACAGTAATTACCAATGAATATGGAGGTTTGTCTTTAAAGGGGGGGGGGGGGGGGGGGGGTATTTTGAGAAGGTAGAGGGTCAAAATACTGAGGGAAACGGTCGTAAAGGCCTGATTAATTGCACTGGCATCATAGATCAGGTCTGGTGAATCAAACTCTGCTGGTTATGGAGCAGTGGTGTTGCCCTGACTTAGTTAACTGCTCATGTTTCAGTGCCAGCTTCTTCTCTCTGGGTAAACATCCCACCTGAGTGTGGAAGAACCAGTTAGTGAACGCTAACAACCTGCTGATGTAGCCAAATGCTAAACAGCCCGAGGATGTGGGGAAAGGGAGAGGTCATGAGTCTGCGTCTGTCTTAAATGCTAAACCCTGAAGGCAACTCCTCCCACTGTGTACACACACACACACACACACGTACACCCACACATGTAATCAAGTATAAACACAAATAAACTCCAGTGCACCTGCAGGTTAAAGGTACAAGACAAACATGCAGCTCAATCTGGACAGTTGTTTAATTAATGCATAGTTTTATAATGATGTTTTTTTTTCAATATATTTCTATCACTACAACCATTTACTTCCACCGTGTAATTGTATAGTTAATTCGTTTTCTACTAATTTTGTTGCAGTCCAGCCGTCTGTCAATCAAATCTATTTGTGTAAACATCAGCCTCACTATTAACTAATAATAGTTTTACTACCATGGATGTTTTTTTTTATTTAGGGCTAAAATAGCATGTAACTCAACACCTGACTGTCCAGATTCTTACATTTCATAAACTAATAATTCAGATCTGACATCAAACTGTCTCACTAGGTTATTCTTGTTCCGTCTTGCCTGTAGCTCTGTCTGGATATCACATTTTTGGAGC